GGTGACCTGTCTGTGTTGGTCTGACTGATGTCCTTCCTCACAGTGGCAAGCAGAATGCCACTTAGGTTGGTAGGTGATGCACACGTCAGATATTTACGAGCAGAAATGTAGTCGAGCTTTGGTAGATTACAGATAAACCAGGTGAGATTCGCATCACATTTCAACTGGTTATTTGCTAACATCAGACGTAAGGTCTGGTTGTGACTCAGGCGCAGAACTTGGCTGTCGATTGTGGTGATGCGGTTTGTTTCCAGGCTTACAAGCTTCAGTGCTGTGAGTGGCAGGAGTGCGTCGACAGGCACGGAACGCAGATGGTTCTTGTCCAACATCAACCATGCAAGGAGTGGTAGGCCACGGAATGCATGCTGGGATATGATGGAAATGGCGTTCCTTTGAAGGTTCAATTCTTTGACCTTCTCAATCCCTAGGAAGGTATCAGGGTCTGAGGATAAACAAAACAGACTACTGTTAATCATTTCAAGTTTGCAGGGATTTTTAAAAAATACAATAGTATTAATTATGAACATGGCACAACAAACACCAAAAGCGCAATCATGGAATATCTAAATGTAACAGGATAGTTCATCATATCAGTCCACGGTGGACAAAGTTGGACTCCATTGCCCCCCCCCCCTTTTAGAACCCGAACTATGTTTGATAATGCTTGATCAATTCAAACAAAACGCGTATTCCATTTGGGGTCACTTGCAGTCATTTGGTATAAACCTTTAGTGCTTCACAGCCAGGCCCTTTTCCCCTCCGTGCCTCGCATCAGAAAAACCTTTCTCACAAATACAAAGAATGTTCTAAATTATGCATGCATGCTATATTTTTGTTTTGGACATGTAACCTGTAGAAGCTTTATATTGATAGGTGACCTTGAATTTTGTTGTGATTGCTCGTATCAATTACCCCCTCTCCCATCCATTCGGCATGACATGCATGCAAACATCATTTGAGATTGCAACCAAGATGCAACCAACTTGCATAATTTACTCCTTAAAATGACTATTTTTCTGAGAAACTTGTTATATTATACTGTAGGTATTACCAAAAAATGTACGCAATTGTGGGTGAGTGTGGTTAACCATAATATTTTGACAGAAAATGAAATTAAAGAAATAAGGCATTTAAGGTAAGAATGTGTCATGTAAAGTTAGCATAATTTATTAAAAGCATGTTAAGTCACTAATTTCATTTTTTCTGACAACATTTTTCTCTCCAATACTCATATACTTACTACATGTATTTTTTATTTTCAAAATATTATGGTTGCATCTTGTAACACAATAATTTGACAAATGCACCTAGCAGCAGAAAAAATACACAACCTACATGTACCTACTAAAAAGATGAAACTAAATTTTAAATTATGGAAAAAGGAGGCCCATGTTCACATTCCCAACTTCCCAAAATACACATTTTGTCAACATACCAAGACTGGAGATGCGGTTGTCATCAAGATAAAGCCTGGAGACCAATGGGAGACCTCGGAAAGCTCCTGACTGTATCATAGAAACGTTGGACATTCGGATGTGAAGTATCTCTACTCCTCGACAGTTGGGGAAAGACCACTCCAAAACAGTAGGAGAACGGAGATGCTTGATGAAGATCGATCGCGTGGCTTTGTCGAAGCCGGTTGGTATGGTGTCGAGACATGCGGGGAAGCTGTATGTTCCTCCGTATCCAATCCAGCTGCAGGGGAATCCCTTCCAGTTTTCGTCTGGGCAGTAACAGACGTGCCTTCCTCTATCAGTTTGAATGGAGAGACAGCTGTCAGGGCACTGCAAAGCTGCTACGGACATGAGAAGCATATGATTGGAAAAGCTAAACAAGATTAGGCAGCAGAGGAGTGCCTCGTTTCTAGCCATTGTGGCTCCAAACTCAGATTTCTTCCTTACTGGAATACAGGTGTATTGAACCTTATGTGAAATAGCCGGATGTAATGTCCACTACATACATGATACATTTTACGCTTGAATAATTAATAATACATTTCATTTTCACAATGCTCTTTTCAGGGTCTGAGGAGCATGCATTTTAATGGGATTGGCCAATTCCGTCATTTCGAAACATAAAGACATAAAGTTTTACTTTTCAAAATTTAAAGTCCAGGACACATCTAGTATATATAGTTGAATAACAATATCATACTACAGCTAGGGCTGATGCAAACTACATCGGGTGGCATAGTTAGTGGAAATATGCTTTGGCATGCAATCCAGGCTTTTTTTCATTGTGAACCATGAGGTGTGTAAATTTTCATAATAACATTAATTTATAAGACAAATCTTGTTAATCCTGACTTGTACATGTTTTTTTGGAAGGGTATTATTATTATCAAATTTTGGATTAAGCATGGACATTGTAGTAAGAGTGGTTTCCTCAGTGGCTTACGTTTTAATATTCAACACTTGAACAAAGCAGCCAGAAATTAATCCTACCACATTCAGACTGAATCTCTTTGATCTGCAAGCACTCTTGATGAGTGGAATACAATTTGGATACATGTACTCAGTCTGATGAAAAAGTTTAATGAAATTCTTTCTCCATCTTGCCCACACAATACTACTACTCACTTCCGGATACATTACACAACTTGCTTGTGTTGTTTGGTCAGACTACTAAGGCATACAGTGTACATAATTTGTTTTAGGGTTTATTTAGACGAAATGAAAATATATCGTAAGCTGGACTGTGTTTTAATATATGTTAGATGTGCTGTCCTTAGTCCCAGGCTGTTTGTAAGTTGTGTTCTAAAGGATTGTGGTTTTGAGAAGTGTTGTCTAAACTCTCAGGCTGTCCTTGAGCTGTACATGTATGTGTTCTACAGCGTGTGAGTTTAGCTGTGCTTCTCTGCACCAGTGTGTTGTGAGCCACTCTTGTACAACGTTTCACTAACACTCAGGGCCTCCTTCCCCTCGTCCGTTTCCTCAGTGGATTAAGTTTTAATATTCAACACTTGAACAGAGCAGCCAGAAATTAATCCTACCACTTTCAGACTGTGTCTCTTTGATCTGCAAGCTCTCTTTTCTTGATGAGTGGAAGACAATTTGGATACATGTACTCAGTTTGATGAAAAAGTTTAATGGAATTCTTTCTCCATCTTGCCTACACAAGACTCAGTTCCGGATATATTACACAACTTGCTTGTGTCGTTTGGTCAGACTACTAAGGCATACAGTGTACATAATTTGTTTTAGGGTTTATTTAGACGAAATGAAAATATATCGTAAGCTGGGCTGTGTTTTAATGCATGTTAGATGTGTTGTCCTTAGTCCCAGGCTGTTTGTAAGTTGTGTTATAAAGGATTGTGGTTTTGAGATGTGCTGTCTAAACTATCAGGCTGTCCTTGAGCTGTACATGTATGAGTCTTACAGCGTGTGAGTTTAGCTGTGCTTTTATGCACCAGTGTGCTGTGAACCACTCCTGTACAGCGTTTACTGACACTCAGGGCCTCCTTCCCCTCGTCCATTCCATAAGGACCCCTGCTGTCTCTTGTTGATGGACAGCCTCTCTCATAGTTTGGCTCGATGTTTACGTCTTTTGGCAGTGACTGACCCTCTGATTGGTTGACCGGTTGTTACCTCCATGAAAAATGGAGGTATTGTTTTTGGCGTGTCTGTGTGTGTGTCTGTGTGTGTGTGTGTCTGTCTGTGTGTGGCCGGCATAACTTCATAATGCCTGAATGGATTGTGATGATATTTGGTATGCTGATAAGTCTTAGGAAGACAAAGGCCAAGGTCAAATATGGGCCTCCTGGTGGATGACCTTGGTACTGCAGCATAACTTCCGGTTTTTGTATCTTTTGTCCTGAACATGCTATGGTCTTGACATTTTGGTGACAGATAGCTTTTCCTGTCAGGAATAAGTGGTGTGGGTTTGGTCCCCCTAGCAGCTTGTTCTGGAACTGCAGGAGACTTTCTGGCGAAATCTTTAAAAGCTAATAAGTCCAGATAGGAACAACGTATTTTCATCATATTTGGTAAGTAGGTAGCTGAGAGAGAGAGTTGTACATACAAAATGCAAATTATGCAAATGAGGACTTAATTTGCATAATTAAGGAAGAAATTCTATAGTTACAGTGTTTTACATAATAGTTCATTTATACATGTAATCTATTTAATCTGTGGCAGGAGGAACATCAACAGATACCAGATTATGTTAATGATGGCCTAATTTGCATAATTAATGTGAAAATTCTGTGACTCCTTATTGGTGAATGATGGTTATTTTATACCTCTCGACATGTGTAAGTTACTTAAAGGTTAACACCACTATACATATGTTGTGTTAACGTAGATGTCATTTGCATAATTAATGAGGATATGTTGAAATGAAGTATGACAAAGCAAGCCCATATTTCATGGAGGTATGAGATCTCGGAACTCTTGTTTTTTTAAATTGTTAGCTTTACAGTTGAAATCTTGGAATGTCTTCAGCTGGCTATTTTGGGTAATGCTTAAAACATTGTGTTGGGAAGAGGTATCTAATGTCTTGTCTGATTGGAAGATGGGTTATCTAGAGTGTCTTGTGTTGACATGGCTGTTACAGCAGATTGTATTATTCAGTAATAATTGTGTATAAAGATGTTTATACTCGTATAGTCACGTGTGTACAGATAATGAGCTGAATTGTACAAAATTGTCCATAAGTGTTTAAAATGCTTGAGTTTTATCTGTAATGTATTTCGACACTGTGACTATTTGAGGCACGAAAGGACAATTATGTTGTTTTATTGGGAAAGAAATTTCTGGTCTAACGTGTGGTTTGAGCCTTGAAACAATAAAAATGTATTGAAAAATGCAGGAAATTCCTGCTTTAAATGTTGCTATGCTAATATTTGTTATTTACACAATGAATTCTTAAAATACCTTAAGTACTGACATAGCTCAGGTGTATGTTGGGTTGTACACACCCAAAACAATACATCTGTTTTTCGACACAACTAATCACATAACGTAGTAAATGTAGTCGCTAAGGTTCATTTTAGTGCTTTATTTTCTTCCAAGACACAGTAGTTTATGTTGTAGCCTGCCATAGCCTAGTGTATCCCATCCAGGACATATGACCATCCACAGATGTTATTCCTGTGACTTGAAAGTTGGTCAGGACGAGTAGGCTAACCATAACCTGGGTGCCAGACTGTTGCCAGGGCCAGTCTACAAGCTAGTTCCTCGGCTCCAGGGCTAGCCTGGGTGCCAGACTGTTGCCAGTGCTAGTATACAGACTAGCTCCCCGGCTCCAGGGCTAGCCTGGGTGCCAGACTGCCAGGGCCAGTCTACAGGCTAGTTCCTCAGCTCCAGGGCTAGACCCTGAGCAACAAGCTTCTCATGGTGTAACTGGGGGAACAGTATGGCAACCAGGCTAGGTCGGCCCTAGCGGTTGTTACTGGCTCGAAAGGCAGGCGTAGCCTCGCTCCCGGGCCTCACAAGTCCAGCCATCGGCACAGGACTCAGGACCGCAGATGGACCGCACGTTCTGGCCCTTGCTATGATTCAGAACTGTGTATAGAAAATATTCATTTTATTTACAAGTAGATTAGATACGCAAAAATGGAAAATATGTTCTTATATCATGAAAAACGTATATAGATACACTGTCTATACGTGTTTTCATAGATGCTGTTTTTTTAAATCTATTACACAATCTGCACAGGTCAAAGGTGATGTCTAATCTCAGTGAAGGAAATGTTTTCGAGACATGTTTGCCTTTTAACTGTGATGCATTTTCCGGATTGCCAATTCTCCATTCCGCTTGGTTCTGCTTGACTTGTGCTGATTCGGAACAAGCTTGAATGGGTTCTGGAGGTATGATCGTAGTGCTATGTGAACAATGTACCGTCACATGTCAGTATATAAAGGATTTTGTAATAAGATACCTTCAGACAGGCAAACGTAGTAGCCAATGTGGTTCACGCACGTGTAGCCGGTGTTGCAAGCGTTGGTTTCGCACTCGTTTGTGTCTAGGAAGGTAGAAATGTAACAATTATGTCTCTTCATTTGCTCTCTGTATAGAGGTTTTGTTATATTTACCAAAGGAACATTGTTTTTGCTCAGTTTCCTCTTCTCCATACACAAAAGGTCAATGACCTGAACCAGCCGGCTGCTACCATGGTAACTAATGTTGGGTTATATCATGTTGCAATTTGATAGCGGGAGAGATTTAAACTCCATGTATATATATGAATGTGTTTGAGTAAGAATTAACAATATGCGAAGGTAAACATTATGCATCTGCTTTGCAAATGTTACCTTCTAGTTTTTTTGGTGTTTGTTTAAGTTCCCGTGTTCTCGCCAACAGGAAGTTACATCGATGGTCCCAGTAATTAGAAAAGGTTGTCTCATTTCCTGACCAAAGCTAGGTTGTCATTTACACCTCAGTGAAGTGAGGAAAGTCGTGAACGAGTAAAGTGCCTTTCCAAGGGGCATAAGATCGTTGGCATCGGGCAGGATTTGAACCCGGGACCTCTTTGGTCTGAGCCGAAAGTTCTACTGTTACCCAACACGACCCCACTTTCTTTGCAGATAAACGACAGAGAGCGAGCGAACTAAAGCTAAAACTGAAGGCATACAGGCTAGCCGCGGCGACTGTTTTTTTTTTTTACAGTCTGTTACATTAGCCCTAACGTTAGGGCTAATGTAAAAGACTACAAGCAAGAGAGGCCCTGCAACAGTCGCCGCGGCTACATCCAGGCTAGTCACCACTTACCCAATTCACAGTTGTCCCCCTCCCATCCTGCCGCACAGGTGCAAGAGTAGGAATTGTGCAAGTCGGTACAGATTCCACCATGTTGGCAAGGCGAGGAGGCGCAATCATCAATATCTATAATAGAAGAAAATGAACAATCAGGTAATCCAATGTGTTAAAGATTTCCTCAAAATGCTGCAATTGCGAAAAATGGAACTGTTGATCTATAGTGAATTTTCAACCAGTTATGTAGGGTCTATATACAATATCTATAATTATACAAATGAAAATACAAATACGACTAGAAGTAGAAGTAATAACAGAAATGTATTTTACCTGTGCATCTTGCTTCAACTCTGGGAAATGGCACAAACAGACTGCCGTCCCACAGTTTCCACACAGCCTCGACCTGCTCAGGGTAGAGATGGCTGTCAACTGCGGTCAAACCTCTATAACTGCTTCCCAGATTATCACCGACCATCCACTCTTCGTAGGGAGCGTAGTAGTAGATGTAGTCAGATCTAGTGTCGCTGGAGTACACGGGGCGTCCGTTATGGATCTGGCTGGTCAGACTGTAGGTGGTCATTCGGCTTTCTTGAAAATGGATTGATCCAGAAATGGTGATCTGGCGACATTCTATGAAAAAAAGAGAAAATATCAAAATGATGATTTGAACATATTGCAGGAACTCTTAGTCCGATTTGGGTGGTTGCATCAACATACATACATTTACCTGCACATGTTGCTTGAACGGATGGGAATGAAGTCGGCACGTGGTCTACTGAGACCTTCCATGTGCCTTGGATTTTGTCTGGGCTCATGGCGCTGTCTGTTACGTACAGCCAACCATGGTCGGTTCCTACGGAAGGTCCAACTATCCACTGGCCGTAGGGTTCGTAGAAATATAGGAAGTCAGCTGTAGTGTCGCTGGCGTACACAGGACGTCCTTCGAGTATCTGATGCGTCAGGGTGTAGCTGGTCATTCGGGAAGTTTGGGAAGTGTTGGAGCCAGAGATGATGATATGTGTGCACTCTGTGGAGAGATGGAACATGTGAAATTACATTGTGTAGTAAGGATTTTTTGTTTATATTCGCAGAAGAAAAACGAATTGCTTTTGCTCCGTTTCCTCTTCTTCTTCTTTACCGCGTCTTCTTCTCAAAACAAGCAAGGTCAAATGACCTGGACCAGACGTCTGTCACCATGGTAACAGGTGCTGTAGCACACACCCTGTGGTGTTGGATTACACTATAGCAGGACAGAGTTGAAGGAGCTGACCAAAAACTATGTGTTTATGGAATGATGTGACCTGTTAGAAGAATGAGTGGAGAGCCTAACCTGCGGTGCAGCAGACATCTGAAGGTTCGAGATTACGTTGACTCGCTTCCGGGGCACAGCCTACAACGCAAAAAAGTAATGGAATTTCACCAGAAATGCAGGAAATAATCTCTCCCTTCTAGCCAAAATTCTTCTTCAGCACCGTGAGAAATAAGCCCATCATGATGATGATCTCGTTACATAATTGTCTTCTGAAATGTCAGTATTGTCTCAATACGATGCTTCGAATTCCGACTGAAGTAGCAGTCAATGCTTTTCATGCGGATAGGTTACAGTCACGTAACGACGTGTCTATACAGTTTATTATGTTTACCGAAGCCTACGTTTCCTCTTCTTCTTCCGTTCCAAACACTGGCCTCTGATTTGTTGACGTCTCTCACCGTGGTAACTGGTGTCGGGTTACATAATGTTGCAATTTTCTTTTAATTTGTCTGACCATATATATGAATGTATTTGAGTACGAATTAACAGCTAGAGCAGACCATAGGCGAAGGTAAACATTGTGCATTTGCTTTGCGAATGTTACCTTTCTGGTTGGATTTTTTCTTTACCTAGTCCAGCAGGAAAGAGATCGTACTTCTTGTCTGCTCCCATGCGGTAGCTGCCGACATGACGGTTATACCACTGTACCTGCCACCAGTTGGGACTGCTGGAGTTTTCGGTCACGTAGCCCAAATCGCCAGCCTGGGGTTGGATCGGAAACAATATCGGTGTCCTGCATTTTACTGTAAGGTTTTCTGTAACGCATTTTCACAGTGCAATGCCAGAGACACACTTCTAGGCACTAATTTTTAAGTTCGGGATACTGGAACAGGATCTCACTGTCAACAAAAACTCCTATCAGGATGCAACATTTCAATCCATTGTTCTTAATTTTCACTCTGTTAAATCGCCAAGTGTACTCTGACATATATATATATATATATATATATATATACAAAGAAGTGATGTAAAAGCCTACGTGACACAATATTTTCCCTCGAATGTTAAGTCAATAATTGCACAATTTAAACTACGCAGCTTGAGAAAGCAAACATACAACTTTACCATTTGATATCAAATTCTACCACACAATGCATGAAAACAGAATGTGTCACGAGAACAAATTTTGATAACCGGTAGAAACATTTAGTCTGATTACAAGTTTTATAACATACGTTTTTAGATATAAACATGGTTTTAAGCTTTAAACCCCGTCAAAATAATATTAGCATAATATTAATAGCACAAGCTACACCATGTGAAGCCGAACATCTGTTGTATGCCTACAGGTCAACAGAAATAAACAGAAAAGGGACAAAATTGAACTTATATATGTACAGCTGTATACTGACAAATTAAAAGCTTATGTGGCTAAGGCCATGTTGATTTGATTATATGGATGACATCCGCGCGCGCATGAATTTTCGGCCGTTTCCAAAAAAAAGAAGTTTTCAACCATACTGTAAATCGTACAAAACAGTTGCAAAATGAGCAAAAATATACCATAAGTTACAAAAAAAATAATAAAAACTATACCAATGTCGTAGAATGCCAAAATCAAACGAAAAAAGACGAAATTGTAAAGAAACGAACTTGAAGATTAGATTATTCGCCAAACCATATTCTGTGTCATTTGCTCAACCCTCATGACCACGTAGATTTCATAATGAAAAGAACTTTTTTTTTGCAAAACTTTTTTTTTTATTCGCACGCGCGCATCAGTTTTGGGGCTCCCGGAGGATGTCATCCATATAATCAAATCAACATGGCCTAAGCAGAATATAATGGAATACACCCATATTGGCCCATCGTTAAATACATTTAACTAGCAGAATTACCTGGGCATCGGTAATGCTCGGGCC